CTATGTATAATTGCTATTTAATAATTTACGGATGCATCTTCTTGGTTCTTTCGGTAAAGTCACGTAGAAGGGAAATAATAAAATAGAACCACTACACATTACATAGAATTGTAATGTAAAGTGACTTATTGTTAGTAGTTCAGCTGACTGGAGAGTATATCGAGTTTATTGATAATATTGATTCTAGATTTGAAGCTTTCGTGACTGCAAGGATCCATACTCTTTGGTTCTATTCGGTAAAGTCACTTAATATTTTAGTTTTTTATCAGTTTACTATATGGCCGTCATTATATAGTGTAGTGTATACCCAGTTACTTTATGTTAATAGCTCAGCTTATTGGAGAGTATATTGAGTACATTGATTATATTGATGTAATTTATATTTAGTGTTTTTTCCATCGGTTTATTGTATGGTAGTAGGGTATTTGTAGTTCTTTAGAAACTCCTTTTCTGTTTTCCACATCATACACTAGCTTGATACGCGGTGGTTTGGCTGCTGCAGTTCTTTATTATTAAAATTTCCCTCCCTTTATTACTGCTAATCCTACATAATACACTAGCATAATATGACTTTGAGACCCCCCACTGCCTACACATTCCGCTAGGAGTCACTAACCCCATATTTGCATTCGTCATCAATATGCTAAATTCCTCTGTTGATATGTAAACTCCTTTGTTAAGGCTCTCTTCTGCTCCCACCCAGCTTAAAATATGCTGCCAAGCTTAGCAGTGTTCATTGGAGCGCTGTCTTTCCGACAGCTCTGTTTCTTCACCTGAGGACGGCTGCTTGCGTTGTGGCCGAAACGTCGTGAGAATTTTATTTTATGTTTTATTTTATTTCCCTTCTACGTGACTTTACCGAATGAACCAAGAAGATGAATCCCTGTAGTCACGAAAGCTTTAAATCGAAACATTTACGGGTAATTTTCAAATGTGGAACCTTACATTGGCCTACTCTTGCGAATGACGCCAGCGGATCTTTGATGTCCACCGTGAAGTGGATGGAGCGTATCTTTACGGTGAATGCACCTGCAGCACTAAGCAGGGCAGCCATTAGATTCCAACCGTGAATATCTGCAACAAGCGCTGCCGCTAGGCAATGTACCCACCAAGACATAGACGTGGCGAGTTGAGATGTAAAATAGCGATGCAGATCGGAGAGAAATGTAAGATGTGGTGAAATGACGAGAATGAGATATTAATGGGCTTCTTTTTGTACTGTTTAGAAGGACCTGAATCCGAGCTGATATTTGGTGCATCCCTATGCAGGATATATGAATGCGGGGCGCCTTGAGCTATTTATGGCCGTGTGCTTTTGCTTAATTTGATTATGTCTAGCGCCACCACTGGGAAAACGCTGGCCCTGATGAGCTTTTAATTTATTATAGTAATTACATAAGTGACACTGTCGTGGTGTAACGGTTGGAACAGCCGACTTGCAATCCAGAGGTCGCCGGTTTCACCTCTCCAGGCGCGGCAGTTGAAACAATGCGGGAGTTTTTTTTCTAAAACTAACCTGTAAACTATGTTCATTTGACCAGGTATGGCCCACTGAGCTACACAGCTCTTTTTCATAAGCGACACGGCAACACGCGATAGTTCGACGCAGTGACTTATCACGCGGAAATAATTTATAGCAGCCAAGTACACTTCAATGCATGTTTCTAAATATGGAGGGAAAACCCGGAGGACCCGGAGAAAAATCCATGCGACCACGGGCAGAGGGCCACCGCAAACTTCAAATATACAGGCGTCAGAGTCGCGATCGAACCCACGACGTCCTGCTTCTCGCCACCACGGCTCCGTCCCGGCTTTTGTCAAGATTTCAAAAAATACACCACAGAAGACACTGTATTTACCATGCATAGTTCTCCACTCTTCTGATCATATTTTTTTGTACCTCAGAGGCGGAAACCGTAATAATCGAGCAGCTCACGACACAATGGCCGGTGGTGTCAGCGACTGTGAATCGAAAGAATTCGTTTCGCATCTCAAGACCCTGCTCTCAGAGCCAGCATGACAGTAGTCTGCATGGGCAAGAACCATGTAGCAATTCACCCATCAGAGTACAGTACTGTTTACATTTTAACACATGGCACGCTGCTGCGATGTCATGATGGTTAGCACATTGGACTTGCAATCCAGAGACCTGCCGTTAAAACAAATGGTACAATATTCTAAAATCCACGAATGTTTGTGTGGTTGAATACGTGGGCGAATGGGCGGGTGCGTGTGTGGGGTGAGTGGATGAATGAGTATAAATGGGTACACCAGTTGGTCGATCGGCAGGTCACGTGTCGTGCGGGGAAAGCGTGAGCCAATGTGGAAGAGTAAGCCAAATACCAGCTTAGTGGGGCTCTCCACGAGCTTCCCCTAGTTGGAGATCTTTCCATCAGTGGTGGCACGGGCAAGCAATTGCAGGGATGCACTGTTACATTTACCTTCAAACTAGAGATCAGCGCTCCAGATAAGGTTGAGCGATTTGCTCTCCAACATTGACACCATGCAAGTAAAATGTGCTTTCAAGAGGGTAAAATGCCACATTTTCGTTAAGCAACGAGCGCGGTAATGTTCGTAAATACTTCGCAATTATTAATCAAAACTTAATAGGGTGAGGATTACACAGAGCGGTGCTTCCCAACATTTGTGTACCCGCAGACAAAAGTCAAACCTAAAAAAAAATGTTCGCGAACAACAATGTAGAAAAAAAAAACGCATGGCACTTCGTGAACAAAATCGTACCCGTAACGGATCCGCCGGAGCACTTCCCACATTATTGCTGACCACCGGTGTCCCTGCAGACCACAGGTTGGAAAAAAATCACCCAACTAGAGCCTCACCACTTAACTGCAACGTTACACAGAACGACCGCACGATAACTGTCGTACAAAACACGAGAAAAAAGTTTCCTGGTCGGAATCATTTCAGACGAAACGACTTTCAGTTTTATAGCAAAAGAAAAAAAACTGCGCACTCGTCGTTTGGCGGCAAATATTACCAAACGCGCTGTCATGGGCCCCAGGCGCCACGTGACCGCACCTTCATTAAAAAAAATGTAATGTAAATTTCAGCAGTGCAGGAAACATGCTATGCGTGTTATAATGTACATCATGTAGCTCTAAGAATAGGAGTGAGGAATAAACGAAGCAGTTTTTTTTCAAATAACTAAAATAAATGTCCTATGAGATTTGTAGAAGTAAATTGCTCAGCCTTCATAAGTTCAACATACGTACATACATTTTCAGCTTCGCATAGCGGTAGCATGTTCGCCGCTTGATGCAGAGGTTCACGGTTCGATTCCAACGGCCGCCATCATTAATACTGCGGTATTAACCATAAATACTACGCTCCTTCTGCTTCACATTGAACGTTAAAGATCTCGGGAGATCATTGGCAAGTGTGCTGGCGTCACGTTGCAAATACGAAAAATTACCCACAGATTACTCAATTGTAATATAGGTAGCAATCACCAACCGCGACTGTGAAAACTTTGGAAGACAAACCTGCAAAAAATATTTACGAGACTCAGGATCTTCTGAGTTAACACGCGTAATAATAAAGCCCATGGTTCACGTGATTTTGTCAAGATGAACTTGATTATGCAAAGTAACATAGCAATGTGCTTAAAGTTCGCACTCATTAAAACATATGCGTAAACAGCTAATACTGCCTGTTATGACAAATGGTTGGGAGACACCATGGTCACTAACAAGGTATAGAAAACTTGAAAATTGTACAAAGCATGGAGAGATGCTTGGAATCTCCTTGAGACAGAAAGAGGAAAACACGATGTAGAGAACATACCCAGGTTATGACATCATTCAACCTGTGAAGAAAAGTAGGCTATAATAGATACCAGTCAACGGGCAAGTATTATAATGGAGTGGAAGCCAAGGAATTGAACTATCCAAGAGAACATCCACTAATGAGCAATGGAATCAGCTTGTTTGCAGGTGTTCGGTGATATCGCAGGATCGCGAGATGGCGGCATGGGGAGGCGCCTTCATCCAGCAGTGGATTTGACCATGGGTAATGACGATGACGACATTGTAATTGTGTGCAATAATTTATTCAATTATTAAAGATAACCGGACTTGTGTTCACCTGGGCGCTCAGTGAGGCTCCTGAAAATTAGCTCATGTGCTTGGCGTAACTGTTGTAGGAGTATAATACTGGTAGGAACCTCCTGATAACACCAGCCCACAGGGAATTATTGTGTCCGTCCGTCGTGCATCCAAAAATGGGAGGGGTGGGGCTGGGTGGAGAGGGGTGGGTGGGGAGGGAGGGGCTGGGTGGGGAGGGTGGGGCTGGGTGGGGGGTGGGGCTGGGTGGGGAGGGGCTGGTCACCCCGTGGTGCCCTTATAAAACTCAACGTTTAACCTACTCACGCCGGCTTGTGCCCGCCCTCACAGTCGGGCATTTTTGCAGAATACACCACGCCGCCGTTGAACCCTGGCCATTGCCCGAGCAACCCAACGTTCCTACCAGCTCCCTCCGCAGGAATGTGTTTCAGGGAACCATCATTATGAGCCATGGTCAACACCCACTGCTGGAAGGCCTCCTGTCGGGAACCCTAGATGCCAGCAAGTGGCATCTCTCAGCTGGAGGCTCAAGCCATATTGATTGTTGCATCAATAATGAAGATTAAATAAGTAATTATGACACAGTTCGTTCTTCAATAATAATTACTAAATACGGTAATTGACACATTTAAACGTCAATAATCGATGTCACACGTAAAACGCCCAATATGCAGCTTATCAGGAACATCAAAATGTGCATGTTAGGATTGATTATTTTCAAATTACTGTATGCATATTTCCTTTAGGTGAGTCACAGAAAATTACATGGATGAAAGACCAGAGGCGTGATTTTCTCTTCTTCGCCAAATCCTTAACTCTAAACAATTACTACAACACAAACTCGTATTCGACCTCACTTAGAATACCATCACGTGGGGTGAAGTACCCAGTCCCTACCTCAATGCAATTGTTACAGAATTTCGAGGAAAGCAAACAGGTTTATTGATGATCCAGAACTCACCGATTCGCTCACCAGCGATCAGTCACCTCCTTATCACTACTATGGTGACTTTTCCTGTGAACTTGAACTTCCCGCACCTACGTACCTGTGGTGCAGTGATGCTAGAATGTTCATCTTATCTGTAGTGTTTAAGTATCAGGTAACAACACTTCTGTTTCTTTCCTTGCACTGCTCCACTCTGGAATTCTCTTCCAAACCCCTCCCCCATCTCTTTTCCCAAGCTCTTATAGCCTTGTTCAATGAAAAAAATCGTTGACGTATATTTAACATTGATAGTGCTGTTTGTTGCTGGCCGCTTGGCATTGTGACTTCGGATAAAAAGAATTAAAAAAAAGACAAAACACAATTATTGCATCTTAAATGGAATTGTAAGCATACGGATTTGCACTTACAGGGCACTGAAATGTCTCAGCAATTCAAAGCACCTTAAATCATATCTTATCGCAACCATTTAAGTGCCCTGATAGTTTAGCCAAGGGCACCACCCAGTAGCAGCTGTCCCTGTGTGGCACAAGGTGTTAAGTAGCACCGACCTGCAAATTGGGAATTAGCCTGGAAGTAGGGGGCGATGTTGCCGTGTTTATTTTCCAATATCGTAATCTGCAAGTAATATTTCCAAATGTATGGCAAATTGCCGGCACATATTGCCTACTCCTTTTGAACGTCACAGGATCTCTTAACATATGCTGTGAAACACACAGCGCACAGTGTATATGGTTAATACTCCACCAGCAATAACCAGGGTGCCTGCTGGGGTTGAACCAATGAAAGCAGGGGATTTCTAAATATATAGGGTGTCCCCAATGCACGTCGGGGTTAGGGACCAGAAAGTTGCGACCGCTAACGAAATCATATAGTGGACTTCCCCCCCCCTCCCCATAGAAATACATGTTAATGGGGGGGGCGGGGGGGGATAGGGACCGTAAGAGCGTAAACATTGACCATGTGATGCAAAGCAGGGCAATTTCTCCAATAAGAAACAATGGAATAAGGTAGAGATAGGGACCGTAACTTAGGCAAATATTGTTTCATACCTAGCAACCAAAATACGTACTTGACATGTACAGAATAACCTGTACGGTACAATGTACACATATTTGTAACGAATCCTTTTTATATATAGAGAAAACGTATTTGACATTGTAAAGCAAATAATTAAACAAAAACACATTTTGTTGCATAAAGCACAATATTAAGCAGTATTGTAACAAGATTTTACCTTAACCTATAGTTTTTGTTACCTTGAGTGGATGAGTTGTGTTGGGAGAGGATTAAACACCTATCTACGATCATAACCACCTTTTTTCATAACCACCTTTTTTCTGGAAACGTATCAGCACAGCAGCATCTGCTTTGGCACTGGCTGACTCCCCGTATTTTTTCGTTCTTGAACGATATCGTGCCTGAAATCTGCAAAACCATCCACGGGCGGCCTTGAATGGTTTCTTTTTCGTTGCCTTTTCCTCTCCCAACCGCTTTCTCAAGTCCTCATACAAGCTTAGGGCCTTTGCCTGAACGAGGGCTAAGCTGATCGGCGTATTCTCGTTGTGCAGATCCTCGATCCACAAGGCCAGCAATCGTGTAATTTTTTCCCACGATAGCACTTCTTTGCTGTGTAATTTTAACCTCCGAATGTTTTAAAAACATGCTTAGCTTTACTTTCTATTTCATCAGAATTCTTTACTATCGTACATACACTCGTTGGGAGGAACATTCAAATGGCGCCCAATATCAATCGCACCGTTGACATTTCCTACGACACGTTATCACTTCCATTTTAACATCGAGCGTAATACTACTGCGCTTTCTCTTTATGCTCACAACCTGCACCGTCACCTGCACTGTCACTAGCACTACGCGTGCTACTCATTGTTGAAGGTTTGCGACGATGTTTTGCAATAAAGTCCACGCCGATTACAAGGAGCACTCGCTACATTAGTTGGAGAACAAGATGGGACTGAGAAAGGTGGCAGCGCATGCGCGAAATACGAGTTGAACAGTGTTTTCGACTCGGGTGAAATGAGTCGGAAAAGCCGTAACGACTGTGTGTGCGGGGAAATTTTACGTTGGGTTCCTCAAAAAGTCAGCGACGTGAGTGCGACACAACGTATATCGAGACGACATAACGGGGACCACCTGTACTGCTTTATAATGGTAGAAACACAATATACTGAAGCACTATGATAAATACTGTAGTGAATTGCAAAATAAAACCATAGCAACACTGTGCCCATTTGTGCCATCTCTGAGCAAACATGTAGTTTTGTTTGCTTTAATTAACTTTTGATTGAGCTTAGCAATGCATATATAACAGTTAAACACTAGAACTGAAGAAACCAAGATAAATAACAAGAGAGTGCTTAACATTGGGCAGGGGTGGTAATAAAACAGTAAAGGAATTGAATATACAAAGATGGCCACCCCACAAAACTAAAACAGCCCTGGGCCCCCATAAACACTCGATATAATTTCAAATGCACTCAAGTCGCTTCTGTAACTACAACTGGCCTCCTGAAGAGCCAAACCTGACCGAGGCGTGTGTGATCGTGTGTGGCCCACCTGTGAAGGTATTTGCAGGTCCTATTTGGCCCCGAGTAAGGAACAGCTTCCCCACCCTTCTACTACATCTCCACGGCAGCTCATCCCAACCAAGTGTCTCGACACACACAGATCCCGAAAATCAAAATTCCCTTCCTCCTTTCCCAATGGCGTCTCAGCGCTGGCAACTCCCTCCAAATTGTATTCGAAAGATCTATGCAACCCTCAATGCGGCAAAGACTCCTCACACCCGCGCTATCTCTTTAGCAGCTGGAGAATACTAAGTATTTCAAGACACGTGCTGATACCAAAACGCAAATCTCCCTTTGCGGTACCGGCGACTCGACTCCCCGTGAGCTCAGGTCACACCTGCCCGCCGTGGTGCATGCGCAGGTGCATTTTCATGTTTCCGACCTGCGAGAACGCGCGGCCGCACACATCGCACGTGTAGGGCTTCTCGCCCGTGTGCGTGCGGCGGTGTGCCTTCATGTTGGAGTAGTGTGCAAAGGCGCGGCCGCAGACGTCGCAGCCGTACGGCCGCTCGCCCGTATGCGTACGCTCGTGCAGCCGCAGCCCCGAGAAGTGCTTGAAGGCGCGGCCGCACAGCGCACAACGGTACTGCCGCTCGCCGGTGTGCGTGATCCAGTGCTTCTTGAGGTTGCACAGCTGTGAAAAGGCGCGCCCGCACACCTCGCAGCAGTAGGGTCGCTCGCCCGTGTGCGTGCGCATGTGCCGCTTCAGGTCGTCAGTCTTGAAGAAGCGGCTGTCGCAGTGCAGGCACTGGTGTGGACGCGCCTTCTCAGCTGAAGCCGGCGCGATTGCCGTAGATTTCTCGGGAGCCTGGGACTGCGACGGACTGTCGCTGGACCCATCACCATCGCGGCCACCGCTGCACAGAGTGGGTTGCGAGTTGCTCGTTTCGGCGGTGGCTGTGTTTTTGTCGATGTAATTGTCTTCGTCGTTGAAATGTTCATTGTTGTAAGTGTTGTCGTTGATGTAAGTGTCGTCATTGTTGTAAGCGTCGTTGTTGTAATTGTTGTCGTCATCGTTGTAATGGTCGTCTGGGAGGTTAAGGTTTTCTCTGTCGTTGACGCTCAGCTCCAGGTCGTCTCCGCCGCTTCCTTCTTCTCCTTCCGCGTTCTCAGCTGATGATGCAAAGCACAGAAGGGATTTTGACTGTCTTGATGGGCACGTTTGACATGGCTGATAACTGAGAGAAAGTTTCACCAAGAGATGAGCCTAACAATGACAATGATCCTAGAATCCAATCTCTGGCAGCTGAGTCTGAAAGGTGACCGATATTTAAACTAGGTCTCAGAGAAGATCGTGTGGAGTAGTGAATGGTTAACACACCTGGATTTCCAGCCATAGTTAAAATCAGTGGCAAGTGATATCCGAGTGGTCCTGGCCCCAACCCACCCCCCTTTCACCAACCCCATTGATTAGCGTGGTGAGGATATGGTTAAACAAACCCCATAACTGACAATCCAGCACATCAACACCTCAGCAATCAGATTCACAACCAAATGGCTCTCAGACCACTCAAGTCTGGACTTAAGGGGGCGTTGTATTATCAATAATAAGTGGAAGTGAAAGCTGTGTGCTTTAACAGGAAATACAATGAGGGCAATATGTTGGCAGAACAATAAGAAAACAGCAAATGCAAGCTCAACAGAGGTAAAAAAACAACATTATAGCATGGGGTTGATCACGGTGTGGAGTCGAGTTTAACTGCAAAGTGTCACATGAAATCCAATAACAATGCATTTAGGCGGAGAAATTGCGCAGGGGTAGCATATTTGCCACTTGTTGTTGAGCTTCACGATTAAAATCTGGCAGGCCGCCCTGGTTAATACTGCTAGTGTATTAACTGTAAAATACGAGCCGGATTTTGTAATACTGCAGTGGACGCAAAAATATTTTGTGACGCGATTTAAAAATAGCAAGTCATCAAGTGCACTGGCGTTATGGTTCAAATGTTTTCAAATAAAAATTAAAAAACCCAATACTTGAGAAACACATAGCACTATCGCCTCCTACTGCAAAACTACTGCACATGGTCTAATAAAATACAACACCTTCATGAAAGCCTTGCACTATAAAAACTGCGGTATTACCAAATTCCATCTCTAAGAATGAAACATATCGGTTTTACTGTCATGTGACGAACATTACCCTTTGTGGGAAAGTGCTGCCCTCTACTACGACTAAAGTGCTGTCTCTATTGCGATTGCAGAGGTAGCTTTGTGACAAGAGTGCAGCTGTACTTTGGAAGTTGGGGTGCCCTTCTAGTGAATAGTTCCCGGTGGTTACTGGTTAGGTTACGGACAGGATTTGTGAAGTTCGCCCCTCATTTCGTCCCGGATAAGAGGAGTTTTACTAAATTCTCAATCACATTAAGCACTGAGCCTATTTTTCATGCGCTACTTTGTATTTAAAGGTTCTGCCATCAGCATAATTATAATTTATATTACCTTGATGAATGGAGGAAAATAATAAAAAAAATATACCAGTATTTATGTCCAAAATGTTGCGAGTGTACCTGAACCAAATATAAAAAAATGCTGGTATCTAGTTTTGTGTGCCGTTCTCTGACAAGAAGGGTATGTACTGCTGTTCTGCGAGGGAACCATACAGATTCATCTATCTCATGAGATGACGTCTATAGCACAACCTGGATACAATCATGGCGAAAAGATAACAATACAAAACCATCAGCCACACTCACAAGTGAGCTGCTCATCGTCGGGAACGTCCATCATTGTGGTCGTCATCGTCACCCCTTTCAGCTGGGCCCCAGAGAAGCCGGGTCTCGCTCCGTGCTGCTCCGACACTTCGGTCACTCCTAGGGGCAGAAACGAATGTGGCCGTGAGCTCAACTGGGAGCGCCGAGAGGTTGAACGCTGAGCCCAGGCTCAGGATTATAGTCAGGGTCAAGGTTCCAAAGTGAGTCTCATTGATTGGTGATGGAGCGGAAATTTTAAAAAGGCGCGAAGAAAGAAGAGCGTTGAGGCGCCCTAGATTCGTTTATGGCGTTAGGGGGCGGTAGGGTCGTGTGATGAGTGTTATCTGATCCCGTCCTGGGTGTCCCCTTCACCAACCCGCACTAGCCAGCGTGGTGAAATATGGACAAATAACCAGCATGGCCGGCATGACATGGGGAGGCCTTCACCCAGCAAATACTTAATATAATGAGCCAAGAATGTCTGTGCGTAACGCGCGTGACGTCACTGCACTTCGACCAGCCCCCCTCATTAATAATAATGAGTTGAACAATTTTTCTATTTAATATTTCAGATTTACTGCAATATACACCCGTCCTTGGACGGGCAAACAAGCTAAGTGGATTGATAAAGGGCTGTAAATAATTTGTATACATTTACTACTTTTGCAGTGCAGTGCGATATAATATCATGTATGTATGTATTACAGTCAACTGTAGACTAATATAACAAAGTGAATTTATAAAATGAACACTTACCTTCATCCGAGTCCTTATGTTCAGTTTTGATCTCATCCCAGGCCTCGACCAGATCCTCTTCAGCCTGACCTGTACAACAAACACGAAGAGATGACAAAAAACATAAACCTCTTATTTATGAGCCTTTTGCCCGTCCGAGGACAGGGTGTATTGCAGTAAATCTGAAACTTGCAAGCGAAAAGCAGACCGCGACGTGATAAATTCATTGCATCAATTCGTGTGCAGTTTGTAAGGGCGCGGTGACGCGGACCTTTTTCATTTTAAGGTTATAATCCCTTGTTCATCACGATGTCCTTTTTAGTTTGATGTCTCAACAGCGTTACGGAGATCGCGTGACGTGAGGGTTCTGCCTTTGTAGTGAGGATTTGTAAGTTGACGCCGAGGAGGGGGGAGGAGGCGCCTCGGCCCCCCATGTGGAGTGACGTGAGCCACTAATTATTCAAGAGCCGAATGGCTCACAGGGTTATTCCAAATAAATGAAACTGGGTGATTATAGTAGGTATGAGTCAATGGTTAATTTGCTTAACTACATACAACTTTTACTCATGTTTCATATTCTTTGGCTCTTTTCTACCAATCAGGTAAAAATTGTGCCATTAGCATCAAGTCATGCAATTAAACACGAGGGACCCTCACCATGGTAAGCAGCACATCTGTTTCGGGGTGCCACAGTAGTGCGATGTTAACTACTTTGCCTGGTATACCGGAGGTCGTGGGTTCTATCCTGAGCCTCACGCCTGTATTTTTGGAGTTTGGATGTTCTCTTCCCGTGGTCGTCTGGATTTTTTACTCGGGTTTCTCCGTTTTTTTCCTCCACATTTATAAACAACGTGCGTTTAGAGTACTTGGCTGACATAAATGACTACATAAGCCACTTTTTTGAGCTATAATTTGTGGCCATGTCGCTCAGTGGCCTTACCTGGTCATATAAAAAAAACTTAGTTTTAGTAGCACCCTGTGCAGAGAATATCTGTGTGAGATGATATTACAGAATTACTTCTGAAGTCCTTTCATATCCACACTAGGTGGTATCACCTTCCTACATGCCCTGCAATATGTCACATTCGCATTATTCTTACAGCACAAAGCTATCACAAAGGCGACATGTTTCACAGCTAAGTATAGGCAGTCCCCGAGTTACGGAAAGGTTAGATTCCCGACAACGATCCATAACCCGAATGTTATGTATGTCGGAAACTGATCAATTCCCCCCCAAAATCAAAATAAAATCCCAAAGCCGGAAATAGTTGTGCCTCCCCTACCAAGTTCTCACAGTACTGTATCGCACTGTCGTCCATTTTCTATCACTACCTGTATCGTATAGCTGTACATACACTCTTCACTTCCAATGATTATTTCATTTAATCGAATATCTACCCTAACACTACCCATTATTAAACTAATGGAACATACTGTATCCAATTGTTTATTTTAATATTAATTGTTAACAGAAAGCAGTCACTTCCGAATGTCTACCGTGCATTCGGCTAGGCCTAGACTTCACATACACGCGCACATGAAGGTGGAGGAGGCTCGTCTACACACACATATTACACACACCAATACCCGCTATTCGCCACTCAGTGATGGTGATGTCACCATGTCGCCTGTGCCAGGCCAGTTGCACTGAGGCAACGTGAAGTGTCGAAGGCTCTCTGACAGGAGGTCACGGGACAGACCCAGGTGCCATGGGATGACTGAGATAACTGGTAGATGAACCAGCTATACCCCCTACTGTGCCAACTTGCTGTATTTTAGCCGCCGGGCGCTCCGCTCGTTGTCTTGGGCATCGCTCCTCTGCCCTCTGTTGTTGCTGGAGGGTGACTGCCCAGAAGCATCCTTCACGAGCCTCCTCCATAGAGGCCAATGTTGACACCACTGGTACCAGTCATCGGCAAGTGCTCCACATCCTCTCGTACCGCATCAGTCCATCTCTTCTCCAGCCCATGTCGTGCCTGTTTAGCCCCCTCTATGCGGCCAAACAGAAGCTGCTTGGACATGCGGTGGCTGGGCATGCGGGAGATCTATCCAATGCAGCCTAGTCTGCCAGAGCTCTCATGGGAATGTGTCCAGATCTTTCAAGGATTTGTGAGCTCCTCACACAATCCAGCTTAATTAAACCCAGGATGGATTGTAGGCAGGCCAGCCTTAATGTTTCTAACCGGCGCAGATGTTCCATTACAGGGGTCAACGTTTCACAAGCATAGAGAAAGGAGGGCATGACTGCGGCCGAGAAGACCTGAAGCTTCCTGCGGAGCGATAGACCAGGTAGCTTCCACACAGCATTATGCAGCCTATGAAAAGATAATGCTGCCAAACTGATTCAGAGTGAGACCTCTGCTGTCAAACCGGCGCTAGTCATAAGCACACTGCCCAGGTATGAGAAAATCTCCACTCTCTCAACTACTGCTCCATCACCAATGGGAAGCCGAAGGGGTGGAGTGTTTGGTGGCACACTCCAGGTTCAGCAGCAGCAGCGTCTCCAACTCCTCCTCTGAGTGAGCAGCAATCACCAGATCACCAGCATACATAACATGGTTGACCAATAGGCAGTCATCCCTTGACTGCACCAGGGCATCGATCATCCTCCCATTGTATCTGTACCAGATGGAAATTCCTCCAGTACAGCCATGGAAAGCTCGAACTACGTGGCCAAAGATGATGTTCAATAATATGGGAGCCAGAGAACATCGCTGTCGCACCCCAAGGTGAACAGGGAATGGCTCCGACTCCTGGCCACGTAGCTTTACCCGGGCCTGCCCACCATCATGAAAGCCCTTAATGATTGTGAGCAGACACAGAAACTCCGCAAGCACGAATAACTGCCCACAGCCCTGGCCTGTTGATGGTATCATAGGCCTTGACCAGCTCAATAAAGCAGAGATGTAGGTCTTGTTGGAATTCCCTACACCTCTGCATTCCCTACACACGCACACATAGACACAGTAAATACAGTAAGTCATGAAATTAACTTAAAATGAAGAAAACTATCAATAGAAACAAGTAGGACAAAAAAAAGAGTTCTAAGTATAGAAAACAAAGAATTACGCAATTCTACAAAAGGAAAAGAATTATGTAACACTACTAAAAATTCCATTTCCCTTAATCCTCGTGAAGCTCCGGCTTGGTGCCGTTTTTGTGGAGCAAGGCGTAAGTCGGGGCTTACGCCTCGCTCCGCAGTATTCATCCGCAACTTCACCGCGATGCACTATTTGCGCTTAGGCAACTAACGCAAACATTTCCGCATATATTTTTTTACACGATTTATGGGAACATTTCCGTAAAATCGGATTTCCCTGAGTCAGGTCTTCTGTGACCTGATACTGGCAAGGGAGGTCCCATGATGTCGCTGCTCACCCTGAGCTCTCAATGTCCTGATAGTGGCATTCTCTTTGTGCTGTTCGCCTTTTGGGGTCCTCTGGTCTAACACTGTTTGAGACTCGACTCTAAAGAAAGCCGTCTCTGGTGTGGACCAATCAGTTTCAAAGACAATGCATATACTGTCAGAGCATGTTTTTTGTGTTCATGTTCACCACAAGTATCTGTGGATAATGCAGACATGATTCCTTGCAAAAGGTTTCAGTTTGGTGTTTTAACATCTTAATACGTACTCTTTATTTTTCTTGGTAAAGTCACGTAGGTAAAAAAATCAATAAAATAAATGAAAACAATCAATAAAATATTTTTTTTACCTACGTGACTTTACCGAAAAAACCAGAGTATGAATCCTTGCAGTCATGAAAGCTTCAAATCTAGAATCTTAACACCTGTTTTTATTGTCAGAAAAGGGTAAAACCTATTCTTATACCTGGGGACTTCCTGTATAGCCTCTCAGCAGAGGGAGAATAGTGCCAAGTGGTCCAAATTAAGTAATTTGTATGTTTGGGACCCTGGTGATGGCATACATAGAAATAAAATAAATAAAATAATAGAATACGACGTTTCGATTGCAACACAAGCAACCGTCATCAGGTAGAACTAAATTTGAGAGAGATACAAAACACAGACACGCAGACACTCAAGCAGAGAGACAACACAGACACACAGAGAGAGAAAGAGAGAGACACACAACATAGACACACAATGCCTGAGGCATTGGGTCTGTGTGTCTATGTTGTGTGTCTCTCTGTGTGTCTGTGTTGTTTCTCTCTGCTTGTGTGTCTGTCTGTGTGTCTCCGTGTCTGTGTTTTGTCTCTCTCTGATATTTAGTTAGACCTGATGACGGTCGCTTGTGTTGCCATTGAAACGTCGTTACTCTATTATTTAATTTATTTTCTTTCTATGTGACTTTACCGAAAGTACCAAATAGTCAATATCCTGTCTCTAATTTAAGTTTTTTCTGTAATCCATGTATTCCTCTTTCTGTCTCTTAGAGCAACCCCACACATAACCACTCTATGCTTCTTTGTACACTTTTCAGCTTTTATACCATTTTCTTTGTCAATATATATTTTTATGATCCATATATTCCAGCAGTTTAAATACATACGCATTAAAACACATGAACTGTTAAGAAAAGTTCCGATTTGGACAAGACATGTTTGCGAGCTGAAGAAACGATGGCCAGTGATTGAGACTAACAACAATGGAATGGCAGTCAAAATGAGCAATTTACTACGTCAGCCTACTTTATATATGTTTCTGTTGTAAGCAAGTGTTAATGATGAGTGTGGTGAGTTTTATAGGAATTAAAACTACATCCGTTGTTTTCCCATAATTGTCTCCTATTACACCAGTACTATTGCCACCAACACTGCTCTCAAAACCAGCATAATCAACAATGCAGCTTATACTACCATACAACCACCACTTACGACATCACTACAGTACTTACCATCCCCACAATCTTCACCATCCCAACCACCGCTGTCAGAACCATCATCACCATCGCCACCATCACCATCATCATTACCACCACCACCGCCACCTCCCAACCTCTGAACGGACAGCAGCAGCTCCCGGCTCAAGCCGCTGAACAGTGCGAGCAGCACGTCCACCAGGCCTCCCAGGGTCACGTCGCCAGGGGAGGAAGGGGAGGCGGTGGCGTCGTCCCAGCGCGACGTCCCAGCGTCGTGGGGCTCGGCGCCCCGCAGGGCCTTCACCACCTGCCGCAGCACGGCGTAGAAGCCGAAGGGCAGGCGGTCGCGCGCCGTGGCCAGCAGCTCGGCCCGCACGAGGCCGTCCCCGACGCAGGCGCGCAGGACCCCGTAGTCCCGGATGCCCAGCTCCGAGTCCATGGCCCGGGCCACCTCCGCGTTCACGCCCTGCGCTTCCAGCCACGCTGGGAAGTCCCCGCTCAGCTCCAGCGCTGGGGTGGCCACCATGCACGCCATGCTACGATTCAGCTGCAGAGAGATGGTTTACATCATACAACTGAAGTTGGATATAAGCATGCCTTATGTGAGATGCTGTCGCCAAAGTTATTCACAGTTATATAAGATACAAAGATGAGGTATCAATATTAATAGTAATATTATCCATCTTAGATTGCTGACAACAGCGATTATAACGTCTGTCAATGTACTGCAGGAAATATAAGCAAAACTTAATAGAGAATGCTGCACAAGTTAACTCAACAACTGGGAAATATCTGTCAGAGCGAAACAATAATAACACATATTGGTGCGTGTAACTAGTACAGCTATTGAACTTGTATCAGAGTCAAAATAATGAAATCGATGGAATATTGGAGTGCTTTTAGAAGACAGAACATTCTCTTAAAAACGTAAAGAAAAATATTTGTTTTAAATTATGCGGATTACCTGCTGTTTGGTTCGGAAACGTAAAAAAGAAAATGGACCGAAAATTAAAAAGTATGCACTGCAAGGAGAGATGCACGAGGAGAAAACAAAATGTATTCGACAACACGCAGGTTAAATACATAATTGACACTGTGAAGAAAACCAAATGGGCTTTGGCAGGAAACATCGCTGGAACAGCTGATGGCTGGTGGTCAAGAATAATAACACGGTGGCAGCTAAGGGAACGGAATGGGCCCGAAAGAGCGTCCACGCAGGAGACGGTGCCATTAAATGTCGAACTTTTTTCCCCACCGTACGTAGCCAACCGTGCTAATCGGAGGTGCGGGGGAAGGACAACGAACGAAACACTGAAAAGCCGTTCTGAAGTAATCCGTTTCCCATCTGGACTTGAAAGTGCAGGGCTCCAGTGACTTCCGAATATCGGAACAGCATTCCCAGACGGCCGCAGAAGCGCGCCTAAAAGATAATATAATCCATGTATCACGCGCAGGTGATAGATGGATTCGTTCTTACATTAACATGCTGATCTCTCACATTAACATAGCCACTTCTGTGCCCTCGTTTAGGAGGCCGCTCTCCTCCTATCTTACAGTTACATGCTAATTTCTCACATTAACATAACTAGCCCCGCCCACTTCTTTATGACCCTTTGGGCTACACCCATTTCAAACCCTTTTAAAACCGTCTGCCTCAGCAGCAGACCATCGCTTTCCCACCTGATGACGGGATGCTTAGGTGTTGCGCCCGAAACGTCGCGATTTATTTTATTTTTCTACCTCCGTGACCTCACCGAAAGAAGCAAAGAGTATGGATTCGGTCACGAAAGCTTCAAATCAAGATTGATCGATGAATTATTATTATTACATCGCTGGATCTCGGAGGGGGTGGCAGTGGCTTGGGTAGGCTTTCATTTAGCAATGGAATGATCCTAGCAGATGACGATTAAATACAACCGTATGCATATGCTGGACTTGGTGGCGTCCAAATGTGGCCACATCACCTCAAGGCGCGGCGCAGAAGCACTGAGAATTTGAATCGAATCGGATTTGTGTTGTGCAGGCCGATCGACACGCTTGCATTTCACAATAGCCGTGACTCGATCTCGGAAAGCTAAGCAGTGGGTGAAGCCTGGCTAGTGGTTTGGAAGGGCAACCACCGCACACACTATAAAACGATTAAACTATGTAGTTTTTTTAAAAAATATATATATATACATATTTGACCAGGTAGGGCCCACTGAGCTATACACACATCGCTCCTGGCCAACAGACGATAGCTCAATGAAGCGGCCCATCATGTGGACATTGACAGCAGCCGAACACTCTTAAGGCGCACGTTGATTCTGAGTGTGGAGGGTGTCAATCGGCGCTGTAGTAGCACACTGCTGCAGAGATAACACGGATGGCAACAGAAAACACCGCACTGCTAGGAGCGACACTCCACCCGCCTTCGCCAACACGCGCTGGTTTGAAGTACGGTCGAACAACCCACTACGCGATTTGCACGACGTGGGGGGATGTGACCGCCCCGAACCCCACCATCCAGCAGTGGGGTGGAGGCGAGGCCCAGCGTATCTACGGTTTCACCGACACCCTGAAGCGTGTTTGCAACAGGGAATTGTTGTTCATGGACAGCGGCGGTGTCACGTCGCGAGCGACGTCGTCCCCCTTGGCCCCGCGTCTCCCACTCACGTCGCTAGGCCCCGGGCAGCAGCAGCAGGAGGAGGAGGAGGAGGCGGCAGCGGCGGCGGCGGCTGCGGAGTCGTTTGCGAGACGCGAGACGGCTGGGCCCCTTGCGTTTCTTCGTTTCAACCTCCGGATTTCCCCTCTCGCGGACTCCCTCCGAGTGACGAAGGCGCCGCGACCGACAACCGCGAAGCGCGGGGAGGGGGGGCCCAGGACCGTGGATGAGGGGCGCGGGAGGGGCCCAGGACCGTGGATGAGGGGCGCGAGAGGGGCCCAGGACCGTGGATGAGGGACGCGGGGGGGGCCCCGCACCGTGGATGAGAGGCGCGGAGGGGGCCCGCACCGTGGATGAGAGACGCGGGGGTGGCCCCGCACCGTGGATGAGAGGCGCGGGCCCAGGACCATGGATGAGGGGCGCGGCCCCGCACCGTGGATGAGGGGCGCGGGGGGGGGCCCGCACCGTGGATGAGAGAAGCGGGCCCCGCACCGTGAATTCCAGGGTCGACGCAAAGGGGTCCCAAGTGGCCCAAGGGGACTCCACGTTCATAAATTTGGCACCTGAATAACTGCCAAAACGCTCTCCGTGGTGCTAACGTTTAAAAAACTGCCACTTTTTTTCAAATTTTCTTGCTGTGGTTTTCACACCTGATGATGATTGCTCGTGTTGCAGTCGAAACGTCGTGAGAATTGTATTGTTTTATGTTTTTATTATTTTATTGTTTCCCTTCTACGTGACTTTACCGAAAGAACCAAGAATATAAGTCGGTGAACAGCCATCAACAATCACGCGACGTTTTTTGTACAGAGCCACACAGGCTGCATTGTGGAGTTGTCGTGAGGACCTCCGACAGTGTGGAGGATGACCGACACAGAGACCCTTTTGCCTTGTTGCTGCTGAACCCGACCTACAAGGCCGACTGACGATGGCCTTGCAGGTTGGAAACCAGGTGGACACTTCCAAGCATGTTAGATGGGTCATATGTTCTCCCAATTACGTTTATTCATACTCTTCGGTTCTTTCGGTAAAGTCACGTAGGTATAAAATAAAATAAATTAAATCACGACGTTTCGGGCGACCACAAGCGTCCGTCATCAGGTGGGACAACCACAGCAAGAAATAATTGCTGATGACACGCTTGTATTGCGCCCGAAACGTGATTTAATTTATTTTATTTTCTACCTACGCGATTTTACCGAAATAACCAAAGAGTATGGATCGCTCCAGTCACGAAAACTTCAAATCTGCGTTGATTAATTTATTTATGAGACCCAGTTAAAAAAAAAACATGCCTTGTCATGTCACTGTGCAAAGTCTTCATGCAAGCAGATCTCTCTATCCAACTTCTCTTATGATCTTCATTTGTCAATACGGCACAGGATTCGTGTATTGTACGCCTGTATAAGACAAATACATTTGTGTGTGAGGATCAATTTTAAAAGGGGTTAGTGCAATGCACTATAAACCTGGTCATCTGAGTTCAATTCCCAGCCACGGCTTCACGTCAGTGGTAAGTAATATTTGAACGGCTCCTGCGCCCTCCGCTAGGTCGACTCAGCCTTGAAATAAATACTGTATGGCCAATCCTCGACTCACGAACGGGTTACGTTCCAGAGCCTCGTTCTATTTGTTGGTATCTCGGAACTCAATATTTAATTGTACATACATATGGTCAGTGTTATAAAGTGTGTTCTGGTTGAGCAAAATACGGAAGCATTGTTAAACTCACATGACGAAATATTGTACATTTGCATGGAATACCGTACTGTAACAAATACTGCTTAGAAAATAAAACACCTGGAGTCCTGATGCTGGCTTACTTGTCGGCTTTTTTTTGCATTGTTAGCTGTTGAAACTTGCTGACGCGCCCATACTGGGCATCTATGCAAAAGACAGCTCATTGGCTTCCTCCAGTCTAAATAAACATTTTGATTCTCATTTTTTTCACCTGTACGTTTAAAACTTGCGTGGGTAAACAACACGATGGTGGCGCACAGATGTGATTTATTTTTTTACTTACAATTGCACGCAAAGACAAATATCCCCCGTATAGATTTTAACAGGTTGTTAGGGCAAGTGCTGTGAGCGAGCACCTATGAAGGCCGGGACGGCACATGAGGGGGTGGGTGGCCAGCACCACGCCCGGGAGCCTAAGTCTCTCCAATGATGCTCATCACATCGACCATGCCAAAAAAAACATGCAATACTAAAAGTCGGGTTAGACTTATCGATGCATTCCATCCACAGCGTAAATATTCTGCAACGCCAGATGGAGGTGCATCTTGAATGTGCTGCAGTCTGAGGACGAGGAAAACGACATTATTAAATTTCTGGGCAAAACTAATGTTCAGAAACCATCCCACCAGGGTGATAGAGTTTGTAATGTACAGTGAGGGAAAAAAAGTATTTGATCCCCTGCTGATTTTGTACGTTTACCCACTGACAAAGAAATGATCAGTCTATAATTTTAATGGTAGGTTTATTTGAACAGTGAGAGAGAATAACAACAACAAAATCCAGAAAAACGCATGTCAAAAATGTCGCATTTTAATGAGGGAAATAAGTATTTGACCCCCTCTCAATCAGAAAGATTTCTGGCTCCTAGGTGTCTTTTATACAGGTAACAAGCTGAGATTAGGAGCACTCTCTTTAAGAGTCTCTGTGTCTGAGTCTCTGTGTCTGTGTGAGTCTCTGTGCCTGTGTGAGTCTCTGTGTGAGTCTCTGTGTCTGTGTGAGTCTCTGTGTCTGTGTGAGTGTGTCTGCGTGACTCTCTGTGTCTGTGTGACTCTCTGTGTCTGTGTGAGTCTCTGTGTGAGTCTCTGTGTCTAACAAGCTGAGATTAGGAGCACTCTCTTTAAGAGTGTGCTCCTAATCTCAGCTCGTTACCTGTATAAAAGACACCTGTCCACAGAAGCAATCAATCAGATTCCAAACTCTCCACCATGGCTAAGACCAAAGAGCTCTCCAAGGATGTCAGGGACAAGATTGTAGACCTACACAAGGCTGGAATGGGCTACAAGACCGTTCCCAAGCAGCTTGGTGAGAAGGTGACAACAGTTGGTGCGATTATTCGCAAATGGAAGAAACACAAAACAACTGTTAATCTCCCTCAGCCTGGGGCACCATGCAAGATCTCACCTCGTGGAGTTGCAATGATCATGAGAACGGTGAGGAATCAGCCCAGAACTACACGGGAGGATATTGTCAATGATCTCAAGGCAGCTGGGACCATAGTCACCAAGAAAACAATTGGTAACACACTACGCCGTGAAGGACTGAAATCCTGCAGTGCCCGCAAGGTCCCCCTGCTCAAGAAAGCATATATACATGCCTGTCTGAAGTTTGCTAATGAACATCTGAATGATTCGGAGGACAACTGGGTGAAAGTGTTGTGGTCAGATGAGATCAAAATGGAGCTCTTTGGCATCAACTCAACTCGCCGTGTTTGGAGGAGGAGGAATGCTGCCTATGACCCCAAGATCACCATCCCAACCGTCAAACATGGAGGTGGAAACATTATGCTTTGGGGGGTGTTTTTTTGCTAAGGGGACAGGACAACTTCACCGCATCAAAGGGACGATGGACGGGGCCATGTACCGTCAAATCTTGGGTGAGAACCTCCTTCCCTCAGCCAGGGCATTGAAAATGGGTCGTGGATGGGTATTCCAGCATGACAATGACCCAAAACACACGGCCAAAGCAACAAAGGAGTGGCTCACGAAGAAGCACATTAAGGTCCTGGAGTGGCCTAGCCAGTCTCCAGACCTTAATCCCATAGAAAATCTGTGGAGGGAGCTGAAGGTTCGAGTTGCCAAACGTCAGCCTCGAAACCTTAATGATTTGGAGAAGATCTGCAAAGAGGAGTGGGACAAAATCCCTCCTGAGATGTGTGCAAACCTGGTGGCCAACTACAAGAAACGTCTGACCTCTATGATTGCCAACAAGGGTTTTGCCACCAAGTACTAAGTCATGTTTTGCAGAGGGGTCAAATACTTATTTCCCTCATTAAAATGCTAATACATTTATAACATTTTTTGACATGCGTTCGTCTGGATTTTCTTGTTGTTATTCTGTCTCTCACTGTTCAAATAAACCTACCATTAAAATTATAGACTGATCATTTCTTTGTCAGTGGGTAAACGTACAAAATCAGCAGGGCATCAAATACTTGTTTCCCTCACTGTAAGTAAAAAAAAAATCACATCTGTGTGCCACCATCGTGTTGTTTATCCACGCAAGTTTTAAATCTAGAGGTAAAAAAAACAATAAGAATCAAAATGTTTATTTAGACTGGAGGAAGTCAATGAGCTATGTGTTTTGCATAGATGTCCAGTATGGGCGCGTCACAAAGTTTCAAGAGTAAACAATGCAAACAAAAACGACAGGAGTGTAAAATAGAGTAAATGGTGAGCAAGTCACGAAATATAAATAAATAATAAAATAACTCCGTAATAGAGGCGTTTTTGTTGGGGTTAGATCGCGAAAATATCTAAATGTGTCGTTAAAACCTGCCACCACCCGACACAGCCAACTAGTAAGGATTGTCACGTAGACAGAACGTGCCAATTCGTCACTAGTAGTGTATAGTGTAGTGTACAGTGTAGTATATAGTAGTGTAGTATACTAGTACAGCACACCGGTGTGTTGGAGAGCCAAGCCACAAGATTTACAAACTGAGCACGACGTTTTGCCAGTAATTACAACCGGCTTCATCAGGCGACAGCCAGATTTGTGACAACCCCCACTACTTGGCTGTGTCGGGTGGTGGCGGGTTTTAACGACACATTTATATATTTACACGATCTAACCCAAAAACACCTCTTATGGATGATATTGGTCGCGAAAGCCTACGTGTTAAAATGAAATAACTATTCAAGTCCGATTCATCAAGATTGGGCAAGGCAGCAAAAACAACAAAATATTCCGAGACCACACCAAGATAATACAGTAGTAGTCCCTCAATAAAATGGCACATTAACACTGAACTATCGATACACGGGTAATGATCAAAGTTACAAAACACATTGGCAAATGTGGCTGGATCTAGCACTAATCTTCTGCTTCAGGATATTTTTTGAAGGAAGATTTACGATGTCAAGGGAGGAAACAAGGTTGTTCCAAAAACGTTTGTGCTGCAACATCAAGGACTTTTTCGGGCCCTTCTAATTCTTGTTAGAGGTATTTTGAAAATGCAAATGGATGGACGCCTTCGGTTTCTTTAGGTTTGACCGTGGGGGATTA